AAGGAAGAAATTTTTTGCGCTGAGGGTGGTGGTGAAACACTGGAAGAGGTTGCCCAGAGAGGTGGTGGATGCCCCATCCCTGGAAACATTCAAGGTCAGGTTGGATCAGCAAGCTGATCTAGTTGAAGATGTCCCTGCCCACGGCAGGGGGGGTGGACTAGATGACCTTGAGAGGTCCCTTCCAACCCAAACTATTCTATGATTCTACTGTCAAGCTTGCTCCACTTGCAACACAAGAGCGACTTCCTGATGATATCTGAGCAGCTGGGCAACACGGTCCGGATGGGTGGAAACATTCCAGAGGATTTGCTGAAAAGGGCAAGACAGCCCACTTTGCCCAGGCCATCTCACACACTTTAACATTATCTACAGCTCCAGAAACAAAGCCCACACCTTAGCATGCTCTGGCCATATTGTTCCGAAGAATGAGAAGTGGGTTGTATGAATATGAGTTTACTTATGTGTCTCAACTGTTTTTTTTTTTTTTTTTTTAATTAATTTGTAAAACATGGATCATTCTGAGCGCTTGCTAAAATTATGACTCATATTTTACATTTATCTATGCCTGCTCTTCAGGAACATAATTATCCTCAGGGAATCCTAATCAAAATCTCTCTGTAAGTAGTACCAAAGTGAGGTTTATAGTTTTCTTTGGAGAGTGTGTGCGTGCTGAGGGGCTGTTATTTTCATGGATTTTGTTTAGATATTGTTCATAGCATTGTTTTTAATATAAAGACCATTTTCTACCTCAATTGTTGTGCCTGCTGTAGAGTAAATATAGACTGCATATAGATGACTCAAAAATTGTTGTTGGGTTTTAATTCCTGATTTCTTTTAATCTCACAAGTCTAGGCCTCACCCTCAATACTCTTTAAGGAAAAAAATCTGCAGTGCTCTTTTGTTCTTGTTACCCAAGCTTGTGATAATGACAGGTAAGAGAATACTCATAGGTGTAGTTCTGGGTGCTGAAGCAAGAGCCACAAATTTCATTAAAGTTTGCATTACTTTTGAAAGGCATGTTAGACACTCAGCTGCACTTTTGCAAAATATTTTCTAGGAGCTAACAGTCTTATACATCCAAATCTGGATTATTTGCAACCTCTTTCTATCTACCCCAATCTTGCCGTCCACTAATTATTTTCAAATGTCCATCAGTAGGAAAAAAGGCAGAGATATCAGAAAAATATTCCAGTCATCAAGAAACAAGTGGCCATTTTTTAATTTGTGCCACTTTTACAGAAGGTTTTGTGACATGAACTGACGCTTTCAGAGATGTTTGTAACTTTGTCTTTTCTCGGGAAGGGAATTGCACGAAAACCAATACAAATGCTGAGTCTTGTTCAAAACCTACAGCAAGTTTCCTACGTATTTGGCTTGCCACGTTTGGATTCATAAACTAGTTTCCAATAAAGTATCAGAAAAGCAGAATTGTTACACTTCCAGTGTTCAGTTTCAGAGATACTAGTAACATTCTTGATTACTCTGACCTAAGAAGAATTTTCAAGAGTTTGGTGTGCTCTGAGTATGAGCAATCTTAAGACTGCTGCTGTGCTTCAATTTGCCCAGCTGAATTTTCACTCACTGCATTTTAAACCACTTTAACCTTGATCTAGCCTTATGTGCCTTGAGATTTGTGCACCTCCAAACCCAAGGAGCAAAAATGGGACAAAGATCCAATCCACACGCAAAACTTCCGTGCCTAGAGAACAGGGATACAGGGTGCCAGGTGCATTATTTTCTTTCTAAACCTTTAATTTGTGCTGTACTCTTGGCTGTTTCTGGCAAGGTGAAAATGCCATATGTGAAGGATTTACTGAAGATGGGTGTCCTAGAATCTCTTGACTGAGGTCTAACACAAAAATTTTAGAAAGATTCTGAAGTGCTAAGTTATATTCTGTTCGGTGCAAATTAGTTTAAAATATCCTTTTTGGAAAAAGGAGAAATCTGTAGAAAACAAGTCTTTGGCCTTCTGCTCAGATGAAGGAGAAACATAGCATGCTGGGGTAGGTAGCCTCAACTCTTTATTCAAGAGGGGGCTGGTTGCAGGATGTGGAATACAGATGAGTCCCTGATTTATGGGATAATATTCATAGTGAAAAGAATATGTGGCAATAATCAGCTTTTGCATCAAGTGGCGCTGAGGCAGTGAATAACTATGTAAGTGATTTATTGTGAATATATTCCAAGGCTACAAGTATAATTCCTACTTAGTGCGGATGACAAGACAATAGAAGATTATACAAACCACAACACCAATAATGAAAAGAAAGTAATGTTTTTCTTGCCTCGGCAGACTTGGAAAGTTCTGTGCTGCTGCCTTCTCAGACTTTCCTTTGGCGTCACTTTGGGGATAGAGATTAGGTGAGTTACTGTTCAAGGGTGGGTTCAAAAAATAACTACTACACTGTTGGCCTGTATGGAGATGGAGGGGTTGTGATTAGACACACGCTGTGTCTAAAGGTGTAACGTGCTTTTTGCAAGGTCTACTTTGATTTCTAGGCAAGAATTCGTGCTGAAAACTTTGTCAGAATAGGTACTGACACTGTTGCTCTTGCAAGTATGGCGTGCAGAAAGCAGGGAGGATAACAACAGATCAAATTAAATACATGCTGAGAACAGGCAATTGTCAGTGACGACGCATCAATTAAGGGTTTCAGAAGCCAGCAACCATGTATCAAATATAAAGACTATTATTTAACTATAAAGGGATTTTTATTTTGTTCCCAGTGAACCTGCCTAATCAATTCTAGCTCTAATTTTTACTCTAAGCTTGTAGAAGAGAAGTTGAGCACAGGGAAAAGTAGTGTTGTCCATTTAAAACACGCTGTATCCTATCTTTGAAGCTGAAAAAGTTATCTTAAGTCATAAACTCATCTCAGCAAAGGACATGCTACATTCTGAGATGCTTGTTAGCTCTCCCCACACTACATAATGGTACAAAAAAAGATACGTCACCTTCTCTGCCCTCCTTATACCCAAACCACCTCTTCCAAAGAAACCCAAACCAGTGAATCACAGTTTCATGATTCCACATTCTCACATTCAAAAGGAAAGGCAAAAGAAAACGATCCTAGACATTATTACACTAGGAGCAAAGTGTGGGAGGAGGAGCTCAATGTTATTAGTACTTTTTAATCTCTACTGAAAGAAGCGTAAGCTTTGCAAAAAGTATTTTTTTATTCCTGTATAATATCTGAATGTGGTTCTGTGCTTGGGTAATTTATAGCAATTCTTTATTTGGAAAACTTCCAAAACCTGCTAAGGTATGGCTGGAGTAAAATCCTTATGTATTATTCAAAAAAGAGTATTTGCAAGCAGATGGAGAATTCCTTGTTGTACTTTCACATCAATGAAAACACAGTTGTTCATAGTAAAATCCCACTGGTATATATTAGATCTCATTTGACCTAATTTTAATGAAAGGTCATAGGAAGAACAACTGAACTTTAAGATTGCTTCTATACCTGTACTGATTTGTGCATGTTGTGCACAACTACCTTAATCTTCCCTGTTAAGAAGCAGCTGTAAGGAACCCTTCAGAGAGCAAGCCTGCCCTCAGTTCTCCCTGGAGACAAACGTATGCGGATAAGGCCAAATGGCATACAGTCATGGCCATCTTTAAAAGGATAGAGAAACATGGTCACTTCTTGAGATCATCCAGTTTATTTTCTAAAGTGAGCCTGTGTGATAATAAAGAAACTCGAAAGCAGGCAGGACTCACTGGCAAATCCTGTACTATGCCTAGGATGGCTAAAAAGTATTGATTTGGACGATAGCTTCTAGTTTTTCAGCAACACAAGGTCTATCTTTACCAATTTTACTTAAGAGATCTCGAAGTATATATGAACAAATGAATTAAGGATCTCTCTTCTCCCTGAGATGGGTTAAGACTTACTCTGTAACGTATTCCGTTTTTAAAGCAAACGAGCTACCTAACTTAGAAGACAGGTTTCTAGTACCAGTAAAGCCACACAGAGGTAGCGTCCCACAATTAAGTAGCAGGCACTATATGTAAATGCAAGAATCAGCACAGACTTGGCTGTCAGGAAACAGAACCTCATTACAGGTGATGATCTATGAAAAGTCTTGGAGTCCCGCCTCCAGGAGATGTGTCCTGTTAAGCATTAGCACAAGCTGATCAGAGGTACCAGGTTTCCTTTCTCTATTAAATGCACCTACTGTCACAACTTTTCCCCACTCAGATTACTGGAATGCTGCAGGAAGGAAAACAGGTAAACATACATTTCCGCTTATGAATTTTTTTTTTCAATTTAGTATAAGGTTTTCCATAAATTCTTACTTTGATTTCTTCACATAGAGCCAGTAGACAACACCTGCAACCAGTGCAGCCAGCAGAAGACCGACTACAATCCCCACTATTAGCTTTGCCTGGTCATTAACCTTTTCGCTATTGTCATCTGAAGCAAAGAACAAAAGTTAATGAGAGGACCTATGATAAAGTAAAGCATTATACCATTTCTAAAGAATTTCCATCAGAAACAAGAAAGTAAAAATTAAAAAAAAAAGTAGGCATTGTTCTTAAAACCACATTTAAAGCTTCAAGAAGTTCAGATTCTTAGCCAATCATGGCACTAGCTATTTCAAATCAAGTCCAACATTGAGGGACTGTGGAAATTGTTCAGTGACACTACATAGGTCTGGAACTGAGACAATCAACAGAAAGGGTTGTGGAGATAGAAAACCATACGTACCATTTCTATCCTCTGGCTCATCGTATTCTGGAATACTTACTGAAATGAAAATTGATAAAATTAAAGACAAAATGTATTATACCTGAACATCACCTTTAATTGCCTATTTACAGCAATGACAGAAACACTGAAACTTAATGCAGTGTTTGCCAAACAACAAGGTAATTAACCTTGAAGCAGAAGTCTTTCCTTTGTAACTATAATATAGCCAATTGAAGAATCTCATTCAAAACCTGTAATATTAATCTCAGAAATATTTCTGAGTATTTCTGTGCTACCCTTCCACAAACTGTAGCTTCTCACCACCTTTCATCATTGAAAAGTGACATTTGATTTAAGCCCAGTATGGCCAATTTCTGTTCTGAATCAAGATGTTAATTTAGTAACAAATAAAAGAGTTTTGCCTTCGTAAATAATGTATTATTTTGCAATATTTTTGTACTATTATGTTGTAATATTATTTTGTAATATTATTTCCAAAAGTAAATAAGAGATTGTATACATGAGATAGCTAGCCAAGAAAATCATGAAGACTAAGTGACTTCATCCAGAAAGCTATCAATAAATTTTATGTACTACTGATCCAGACTGGATTGACAATTGCTTGACTCAAGACAAAAAGGTTAAATATCTTAGTATCAACATTACTATGCAGACCTAACTCTTCATGTGAGTGTGAAGTGTGGGTATTTTATGTGAAACTACAGCTTTAAGGAAATGGTCTTTAGAAAACACTCACTAGCAGAGACATTCAGGGAGGTCACAGTCCTTTCTAGCTGATTTTCTGCAATGCAAGTTAAAGTCACATTCTCCTCAGGAGCAATTACAATTTTACTGGAAAATTTTCCATTAACATATTTGGTTTCCTCTGTCTGAAAAGATAAAAAATGAAGATTAGTATCCTTGAAAAATGCAAAGAACAATACATGCATTACCTGTATTACACACTGAAAGTGTTCAGAGAGAAATAACTTTCAACTAATATTTCAGTTTACCAAACAGTAACAATAGAAATAATGCATTATTTTATTAAATGGTAATGTGAATATTTGCAGAAAACACTTTGGCCAAGATATCCAGTTATAGTTACATTTGGTGTAGTGTGCACTGTAAGACCACTGATGAAGAGGCATTTTGGAGAAAGTTCACCACATCCTGTATTTGCTATTGTTTCTTTTGACTATTTAAAAAATATTCCAAGTGGCAAAATTCTTAAAGAAAACCCAAAACCAAACTTCCAAGTTTTCATTTCTTTCTTGCTGTTTTTCATTTATGTCTTTATAAGGAAAATAATCACTGTACGTTTTCCACTTTCTGGCATTCCAAGTTGTTTCCACACTAAGCATTATTTTGCCAAGATACATGTATTTAGTGGTATCTGCAGTATCTGTACTGTGAGCGAAGTTGTTCCTTAAATTTGCTGTACATCATTCTTAGATTAATACAATGTCCCGCAAAAATTCTTTTCAATCATTTACATAGCTTCAAGACAATTCCTGCCCCATAACTTCAAGTAAATGGACAAATTTTGACAGCTATACATAATTTCTGTAGGACTAAAGCAAAACCTAATGGAGTAATGAAATCTACAGGAGCGCTGTGCATTGTACTTGCAGTCTCTGACTGCTTGTATTGTCTCATTTATTTTTCCTGCTAAGGCAAAATGTGGCAATGCTTTGCATGTGATTTCGTAATCAATATGAAAATACTTCAGTTTGCTTATTTTCCAGATATTCTTCCTGCTGCGTATGGGTACTCCTTATTTCTCCCCCAGGATGACTGCATTACAGTTCTGTTTCCAGTGAGAAACAACAAGTATAACCACACAAAAACAACTATAAAAATTAGGACAAAAACTGCAAAGCCCATAAGGAACTATATTGACTGTATTTTCTGACTCGTACTTGCCACATTTCATTACATCTCACCCAGTTAATGCCTACATCAAGTACCCATTTGCTTTCTAATGTAAGTTCTATAGTTCCATCATTATTTGTAAATTCTTTATGCAATGGCAAAATCACCACATTACCCAGATAAAATGACTAAGTGCCCTCACTTAAAAATGCATATTTCATTTGTAACCTTTTCTTCTTCCTTCCAGCTTTGGCTTGTAGCCAGTGGATCTTCTGTGCCTCCACCTGCTCTATTCAAAAGACCTTTATCATCAGAAATCATCCATGTAAGTACCATGTAGCTACAGCTACCACTTAACCTTCTCTTAGAGAAATGAAATAGACTTAGTTTCTTCAATCTCACTGCCTGGAAAATGTTCCTTGGCTTTAAATCGCATCTCCTATGCACTATCTTTTGGTGAATAAAGTAATAAGAAAGATACTTGCTTTATTTATGATGCTTCCACTACCGGTAACTGTCCATTGCACTGCTGGTTTGGGGAAACCTTCCACATGGCAGACAATTGTTTTAGACATTTTATTTGTGTTGGTTTTCTTTGTCATTTTGATTTGAGGTTTTCCTACAAGAACAATATTACAGTTAACCGTTTTGTTTGAAAAGGACAATTAATAATCATAGCTATCTGCTCCCTTACCTTCCACAATAAGTTTAAGTGTCTTTCTTTTCTTTAACCCTTCAACCTCCTGTAGAGTAGTTTCGCAGATGTAGTTTCCAGCATCTTGATACTGAAGACTTGAAAATGATGGACTTGTTTGCATTCTGGTATTGTCCTGATAAAGTAAGGAGTTAATCTCTGAATTCTAACTCAGAATACATTAACTTCTAAATTACAAATGTGACTACTATCAACAGAATTTTTCACATGCTTTGGTAGATTAGAGCCTCACTCTTAAAGTGTTCCCCCATTAATAACCACATTTTAATAGCCGACAGCAACATAACAGCATGAAAAGTGGAAACTACTGGAGGTTTATAAAAGCCACCTCCCTCCTTCTTGAACAACTTCGCTTTCAAATCAAGGGCATAGATGTGATCAATTGTTAGTTCTGAGCTTTTCCAGTGGGCTAGACAAAAACACGAGTGGTACAAGCTGTTTGAGACACAGAAGCTCTCCTCTAGGAAACCAGGCTTATGAGACCAACGTATGCTACGAAACAACCACCAGGTATCATTATTTTTAGTTTCCAGCCGTATAGGTTTAATTTAAACCCACGATCTATGAAAGCTACCTTTTTCACCAGCCACTGAACACCAGATGCTAACATCCGATCTCTCAACCTGCCTTGCCCTTTTATTACGTTTATTGGACCCATGACCAAGCTTGCCTCTGAAAAAGTGATTAATGAATGCAAATTCCTCCAAATGGGCTTTCCTTCTTAGAGGGATCCGATTCTCAAAGGGCCTTCTATAGACCATTTCAAAAAAGCTGTATTTGTTTTACAGTAGGCTTTACTTTTCTCCATTTGAAAACTGAGCTGATAATTATAGTAGCTGATTTTCAGTCATTAACTTGAGTCAGTAGCTCTCATTTTAGCAATATGTGTAAGACTCATTTTAACAATATCCTTTAAAAAGCCCAATGAATGACTTCCTTTCTTCCTTCCAAAACACTGAAGTAGCAGCAGTAACATGAAGAGGTGAACACTCGGATGAAGTGTGAAGTAGATTAATTACTGACCTTTATCCAAAACACAGTTGCATTTCTACTAGAAGAAATCGTGCATGACACAGGCAGGGCCTCTCCAATCTGTTTTGTGACTTCTCCGCTAGGAGTAAGCTGCAAATCCAAATCTGGGATAGAAAGAACATTTGTCAAAAGTTCATCTCAGAATGCCTGGCCCATTTCAAAGGCTTACCAAGCAAAGAAAATGTGACTAACTGCACTCATTAAATTCAACATTTCAGTTCTTCAATAAAATCTAAATCAATTTTACAAGTAAGGGAGAAGAGAGAATTATTCTAAAATAGGCACTGCAGAACATTCACATCTTTACTGTAATTACAGGCTGAAAGGAAAAGCAAAAACTCACTAAGCACTAGACAAATGGACACATTTTTTTCACCTTGTACTGCTGAAAGAATGACAGAGGAGGTACAAGAAGCTGAAGGAGTACTTCACATAGCAGTATGTGCACCCTGAAAGGGCAAGCACAGAGTGCTGTGAGGGTAGATTGCTACGGGCCAGGTAGGAATGTACCTTCAGGGGAGGACTCGTGCAGGTGGGGACAGATTAACCTAAACACTAAGTGTGGAGAAGAGGATAGGATGACAAGGGGTAACCTTCTCGAATCTGATAAAACAAGTTGATTTTTATCCTCAGCATCCGGAGAGAATGAGGACGGTCAATACAGGGTGTGTGAGACATGATACTGACTGAAGGGGTGAGGGGTCTGAATTATAGGCTTGGGGGGCCACATATAAGGCCCCTTGATTTGTTTCGTTTGTAACTTAAAAAGCCATTTTTGTGTAACTTGGAGTCCAAGCTTTGCCTGACCTGTTTTGGCTCCAGAGAAATTGCAGAGTCAGTGCTAGCTGTGTTTGACACAAGGCAGGGCGAGAGCCAGTAACAGAAAGGTCAGGAAACACTGCTCTAGATTTTTCCCAGTATATGGATTTGGCGGGCTAGCGATTTCTTTAAAAAAAAAAAAAATCCTACGCTGAAAGAAAAGCAGAGTTTGCCAAGCTAAACCTCTATTTTGCTTCCCCTCTCACAGTGCCTTGCTTGTAAGCCAAGTTGCCTGGTTGAACGACTACCACAGATGCGTATAGACACACACAGACTCAAATGGCAAGCCTGCATGATTTCATCACCAACATAGTACTTGCTGGAAAAGGACTGCAAAACATCCTTTTGGCTTTTAAGCAGAGTTTAAAAAACACTTAAGGCAAAATCACAGTTGGTAGGGGAAAGTGAAAATAGTGAGTCGTCCTTAATAAAACAGTGAACTTAGCTACTGGCTTCATTCAGTGGTTGTCCTGGGAACATCATTATAATTAAAGGCAGAACTTCAGGGAACAACTAGGGTTCATCCTGTACTATTAGTCTGCATTATTATCTGTGTTACGAGTCCAATGCCCAGTCTGAGAGGTCACAAGAACTGTACCTTCATCTGTGCATGAGTAAAGCAAAGATCTTACCAAAGAGGTAAAATGGCATTTTGTTTCTGTATTCCTATGGGGATTTCTCCCCCTGCCTCCCTAAACTAGTAAATGCAACCCAACTAACAAGGTACTCCAGATCTTACCATTGCTTCCACAAGAAAAAAAGAAAAAAACAAAAAAGACAAGACTCAGCCAGTTAGCATTTGTGTATAGATTCAGGTGGTGCATGGGATGTGTTTCTTCTTGCTCTGTTACTCTTGAGCACATACTACCAAGGCAGAAGGGTAGTTGAAGAAAAAGCTAAGATTTTTTTTTCTTCCCCTCAGAGTGACTTTCCTTCAACATCTACTTAAACCTTTTGTTCTTTGAAGCAAGATAGTACCTTAAACCCAAGAGATCACCAAAGACCACACAGGAGGGATTCCTCTCACATATGCCACAGGAAGCAGAAACTTATTAAGTTTTTGGCCTTCATCTCAAGCAAGACTGACGCTGAGCCCAGAGCAATCCTTCAACCCAGTGTTCCTCCAAGGTAGCATGCCTGCACCCCCCGCCCCTCCCCTTTTTGTGGTATAACTGAGACTACAATCCCTCTCACACAGTGGTCTTGGTTGCTATAGAAGTTCAGGAAAATTTACAGCGTGCGAGATGAACTGCATAGCTCAGAGCAGTATTTGTAAGGTGATTTATGAGGCAAGCACAGAATTAAGCTACTGTTTAACATAGGATCCCCTCTAGGAACTCAATATAGAGCAATTTGATTTGGATTAATATTCTGCCAGTTTATCTGTAGGGTCCACAAAAAAAGTGATGTAGATACTTTTACCTCTCAACTTATATGGTCCATTAGTAAATAATCTCTCCTTGGTACAGAAATATGAGGAGAAAATATTTCTTGCACACAGAAGACTTGTCAAAATTCATTTTCCTTGCCATTGAAAGAAAAACTTTGTTGCAGGAATTTTCCATACATTTCCCGTTTGGCTTTGAAATGTTCTTCATAAACAAACTTCTCAACAGGCACCATTTTCAATATATAGCACTTAATATGTCCTCACTTGAAGCCTTGCATCGATTTCAGTGCTGCCTTTGCATACCAAGTAGCACAGGGAAGAGGCAAAGAACGCGTTCTGCCTGTACTACCACATCATGTGAGAGAGGTATGGAATTAATGTGGGGAAGACTGGAGCAAACATTTCAGTTTTGAAACTCTATTGCACATACAGGACAGGCTCCCAGAATTTAAAGGAAGCCTCCGATGGAATACTGTGCTACGACTGGGAAAACTATGCACAGCACTTGCCTGTAGTCTGAACTCCCCAAGTATACTAGCAGACAACCAGAAACTTCTCCTAGTATACTGAGAATAGATTTTTCCATGAAACATTCAAAAGGTGATTTCCCCTGTATTTTCAATGAGTCTGTAGCACAAGAACAGACTATAAAAAAATACCTACGGAGAAACACAAATGCTAAATTTCAAAAACCTTTAATTTACTAGAAGGTTTGCAAACCTATTTCCCCAGAAAACACATCTTAGCAGAAAGGAAAGCATCACGAAGAGGAAGTTCCACAGCCCTACTCCATACCGGGTTGTACGTGCAGAAACAATTATAGCAAGAGACAAAGAAAAGGGACTGTGGGTTGAAAGTCACCTGCTTCTTCATAGCTGAGGGAAGGTACACCACCTGTCCTCTACTGCTAGGTGCTTTCCTTGCCTCACACAGGGTGTGCTTCTATAGCAGTTTAAGTGGTTGTAAACAGGTTTTGCCTCAACCCCCTCCCTTTTCCTTCCTGGCCTCTGCCAGTTTTGCTCACCTGATCCTGGGCAAACTCACTCAAGGAACAGAGCTGGCAGAAAATTAACAACCTAGTGTAAAAAAAAAAACAACAAAAACAAACCCACAACATAAATCCTGTTCTGTTGCTCCCTCTGTTGAGGGACAAATCACGCCAACCACAAGCACTCAGTTCTGCCGGACTTCAAACTGGGACCTTGCTACACAGATCCTGCACCTGCCCTGAGGGGCAAGAGCCCAGGTTGTCCAGTTGGTCCCTTATGTTCCGTGGGTAAGGAAGAGACTCACTCTTGCCCCCTCAATTTGCTTTATAAATAAAGCATTTCCCTAAACATTATGGGTAACTCAGATGCTTTAATGTCAATTTTCATCTTTCTGTGAATCTCATAATTTACATTCGTCTTGGAAAAAAAGAACTTGGTATTGAGCCAGAATATTTTGCTACAAAAATATTTAAGGGTTATAAAGTGCTAATGTATTT